AACGACACACAGCCACCCATATTCTCCGAACATCCAAAATAGAACAGATGAATAATCGGGGTATTTCATATGAAATATGTTGTAAAAATGCTCATTTAATATGTCCTTCAAAGTCTTATCTTCAAGTGAAATATAGTTGCATACAGACTGGTCAATTCTGCTGTCATCATATTTGATAGTCCTAATGGCATCCACATATTTAAAGTTAGTAGTTCGGACCGCTCTCGAGAGATACATATCGCGTGCATGAATTTCATCCTAACACCTCATACAAATTTCCTTTAGATTTCCTCTAACGGAAGTGTGAAGTTCTTTTCAAGCTTAGTCTCCTTCCTTATATACAGACTGAATTTATACGACGTAAGGCTTTCTTTTACTAGTACACATCTTCTAAAAGAAAAAAAGTAACATTTGATTAGTTGTAAATAAAATATAAACAATGGCAGTTAGACACTATAAAGATATGTGATTAACCATTGTCGTGTGTGAAATCACATTCGACACATCACGAGTGCTATCAGACCAAACAAGAAGCATAGAGGAAGGTCTATCTGTCAAAACACAATGCTGAGTTCAACAGCTAACCAAAACCTCTAGATTTAAGGAAAGTCGGTCTCTGATATCCAATCCTACTACATAGTACGTTTTAATCGTAAGGGGGAAAGCGTCAGGTTTTGTGTAATGTTTAGGCAACTGAGTGCTTATTGATCTTTCCAAAATCTAGAGCTGGCTTGTATTTTTGCTCAGAATTTACTGGTTTAAAATTCCCAATTTCTACTTCATGAAGAATTGTCCCTTTAAGCCCAAGCTCAAAGGGATCAGTGGTATGTTACTGGACACAGAAAAGTTTGGAAAGATCCGACATTCTAGTGGTACGCTAGGTGGGAGAGACAAACCAGGTGCTTTGGTCCCGTTTAGTTTGCTTAAGTATGTGACTAAATGCTAAATATTCTGAGGTATCGAATAGGGTTACTGAACAAGTTAGCCTTCAACTATTGACCGTGCTAATCATGGAGAGAAGTGTTCTACATTCGATTCGATTAACAGTTTTGTTGCTGCAGCTTCTTCGTATCATAATTTCTTGAAATTCTGTGTAAGTCCTAAGATAAGTAGTTATTTATTGATTACTTCAGAGGCACATGTTGACAACAAGATTACATTCATGGTAGCTGAATGCGTTTTCATTATACTTTTAGAAAGAACGGACCAGGCAGAAAGGAAAGAGGAATGGTATCGTTTTGAGAACCTCCATAAATATACGGGAAACTTCATGGTTTGTCTACACACAAAGTGAACTGTCGGTCATCGCTTAGTTTTATGGGATTCTTGTTAGGAAGAATCGGGTTTAAGGACTAGCTGCTTGTGACTGTTCAGGTGGGTTGTATAATCGATGATCGGAAATTGTGACAGGAGTTATCTGTCACGCCATCACTGTTAAATAAGTGTGCAATATACACCACTTCCTGGCTCTTTTCCGTCTATAATATGCAAAAATGCTGCATATTAGAGTGTAACTTTTATTGAGGATGTCACCTCGTATCCTATTCTACAATTTGATTTTTTGTTCAGCATGCTGGGATATGCTACGCGGATGTGTTCTTAGCAGATATATGTGGATAATTCCAGATGCTTGCAATAAAGTGCTTAGTGAAAATCACGTTTCAATGTCCAGAATTCACCCACTAAATGGACATTGAAATGTCCTAAAACACTGGCTACCGCACATTTATTGACCACTGGGAATTTAGTGTATAAATTCGCTCAGAATTGTTTGTAAATTAATGCCCAACAAAGATGGATTGTTAGGGAACATTGTTTAGAAGACTATAAATGCTCCTTAAACATGTAGAAGAAAAACTAACACACCAAAGAACAACCAGTAGGTACTTATACCTTCAGTCTTCATCTAATAAGGATTATTAGGATTTCGATTAGTTCTGAGCATATTTTAAATCTAGGACAGTTGATGATATTATACAAGTAAGCATCTAATTGAACCCTTTATGAGGGCGACTCGAATGACAATTTCATGATTTTGGTCTTACACACATAACTGAAAGTTCATCTCAGTTGCAAAAAGTTTTTTGAAATTAAATTCCTTTGATCACCGCAGTTCATTCTCACTACAGACTGATAAAAATCAGGAAATCGTTGGAAATCAAATAGTGTTGGCACCTGTCTCATTTTAATTTAGATGAGATCCATCTAATAACTAAACTAGAATGTAGAAATTATGCATATCTTAGTTGTAGATAAGTAAAAAGCAAGCAGTATCAAATACTAGATAAATAAGACAATAGAGGGTCCGCCAAGTTTTTACGAACAAAACTAAAATCAGTAGGACTTTCTATCCTCTCGTTAATTAAATATTGGTATAGGACTGATAAGTTTATATGGTGTCTGTAAATACATCTCGCCTAGTTTAAATTGGTGTGAATTATAGTCAGTTTCACATCTCTTAGTTAATCTAATTGTTGGTCTCAGATTTATTCATAATTACACGGACCAAATAAATGAGGCAAAAGATACTAAATAGTCCAATCAAGGTAATGTAGTGGAAGAGACTTGTTTTTGACTATTGAGACAGTGCAAGTTATCGTGTGAAGGTGTATACTATATTCTTTGTTAAATACTCAATCACGAATTCGTATAACGTTTCTTTCCAAGAAACATTTCTCATTCATTTAATTATACTGTCAAACCATAACACGTAGTGAGAAGTTCCGAAGTGTAAAATGTTCATTTCGAAACAGTAAGTCCGTAAATAATAATTCAGTTATATCTTTTAGTTCAACATGAAGCACTCTATAAACACTTCATATGACACTAAAAAAACAAGTTGTTTTATGGTGCTAACATATGATGCTAACAATATCAACCGTTATGATCAATACTTTAGCTAAAATATATCTTATTAACTACATGAAAAGAATCAGTTTGAACCAGCTAGTTTTTTTAAAAATTACCTAATAGTGGTAAATCTTAATTATGATAGAACCTGAAACAATACCCCTCTTTTATACATTTCTAAAGCTTGGTAGGTCTTCGTATTACACTGTCAAAATTATCATCGGAGACTTCTGAAAAAAAAACTAATTTCGTTTTTGTGGGAGTTCAAAATTTCACCAATTTTAAAATGTTAAAAAAACAGCTGATAAATTCTATCATTTGCTCTTAAAGTCCTTCTGTTGTTTGGGTGTTTGTTCTGATGAATATACTCTTCAATGAAATGTTTCACAAGGAAGACTCAGCTCCGAGTAGCTTCAGTCTTATATTGATGTAGGGATATTTTAATTACCGTTGATATTGTATTTATCAGGGGTTAAAGCTAATCAAAAATGTATTAAACAGAATACAATCTAAAGTTTTGAGCATAAATACGTTTAAGCCCTTTCAAAACATGACTTTATAAATGATACTCTGAGTAATTAAGTTTTATGTACTGAGCTACGTACTATTAATCAACAACCTTACCATGACGAAATGAGCGAAAATAACGGTTTTAGTAAGACAGCAGAAATTTATTTTATTTCATTAAGTTCTTATTTACTACAGCAGTTTCATTAGCAGAGTAAAAGGTTGGATCTAACTTAGACTATTCTACCATGTTCCAGGAAACATGAGGTAGGCATTCAGTAGTGAGATTTATCGGGATCCGATTGACACGAGACATTAGGTAAACACCTTGAAACCACTCAACGTACTCAACGAATAACCAAACTCAAGCTACTCAAATTTCATGAAGCTTCAGTAGTCTGATAGGTTTTGCATTTAATACTATAGAAACAATGAACTAATTGTATGGATTTTCCCATTTTTATTTGACTTTCGTCTTGATACATACGAGGTATAGAAAGAAGACTGGCCTTTTGCTAATTACTTATCGATTCCTCTAAATAAGACATTTTACTGTAAATTACTTATGCACAACGCAAATGACATGTCTTTCACACCCACCCTAACACAAAAAGACAGGCATGTCCCAAAAAAATCACCCAGACTGCATTGACATGACATTGACTTGACCAGACCTGTTTTTGATTGAACTAAATATTTTCTCTCAACCCCTTTGTACTACTTAAATTTATGTTCATTTAATCTGTTTATTTATGTTCTCAGAAGATGTGGCTTATACCGAGCCATGAAGCGTCGGAAAATTAATTTCCTACTCACTGGGGCATGACAAACATACCATTGTTTATAATATCAACAATCTACCCAATGCTCAATTTATTGGAAATTATCAAGTCAAACCTTGTCAATGATATCTATATTACTTCTGCACACACATTTTTTACGCGACCTTTGGAAGCAATGAAAAAGGTGAAATTAAAACGTAAAGTAGTCGACGGTGGTAAAGCAAATATCAACATGTGAGATGTAAATTTAGGGTCTGTGTGTTGTTCCTCTCAAGCAAAAGCAATGATTTGTAACTGAAAGTGACATAACTTTCAATGGATTCCTAATAGTAACAAACTCTGAAAACGTTTGTTCAGGTGTGTTCACGAAAGACTCACCGATCTCTCTCTTCCTAATTGACAGAAATCTAACTCCTTCATTTAACTGATTACTCTGACTAATCAGTACAACTCTCTTGTAGTGCCTATCACTGCTTTTGTTTGTCCTATTTCTATTTATGATTGACTTCAGTTCATTTACTCGACCAAAATATCTCTTAAATTCATCTTGCTAACTAGTTTGGGTTCCCGGGAAGCTGCGGAGCTCGACCACTACTCGATATCTCAGACCGAAGTAGGTGAAGTGGAGTCCTAACCTGTCACCTAATGGTTGAAATCCGGATTCTTTAACCATAAACCCACCACTCCATCTTGATTTTTTAAGTAGATATATTTGAGAAAACACGACTTTATTTATGGGTTTTCCTTGACCTATTTATCTGCTTATTGAATTGAAATAATCAAGGCAATGTTACTATATAAAGCAGTTGTTTTCCTGGATGGTTCACCTGCACTAATGATGTTGTCATGTGATCGGATTTACTTACAATTGGTACTCCAAGAGTTTTGGTCATTAAGTACCCTTCACCAGGTGAAAAGTAACCTATCAAGGACAAAAGCTAACAATTTTATGAAAATTTGTTCACAAATAAATGAATACTTGTAAAGTACACCGCCCAGCTTGATAAATTGGTTGGAAACATATTTGATTGGATAATTAGTTCGTGCACTCGACATCCAAGTATATAAAAGTTTATATAAGAGTAAACTTTTATAATATGCCACAGAAAGACCAAGTTATCCGACAGCAACCAGGAAATTTTAGTCGGAGTGGAACGCCTACCAGTAGGGGTGCATCCCCACACCCAAATCGAGGGCTATCGCAATCACCACGCCGCAATGACACATGCTGTTACTGTTGCGGTTAGTTTCTTCATACCGACCTATTATTGTAGTTTTTAACACGTATTTTGTTAATTATGTATTAATTAACACGTCAGAGTATATTGTAACACTAGCTAGGTAAACATAAATTTGTTATATGAACAATTATATGGTAAACTTTTTTACCAGACGACATAGACAAATATTTTACATAATATTTAAATCGATTAACATATGATTATTACAAAGAACCAAGACAGTTCTATCTCAATGAAATCATTATACGTTAGTTCATCTGAGATTATTGATATAAACTCTGTGATAGGAAATGAAATATTTTCCTCACAATATCAAGTTTAATAAACATACTACATGAATTGAGATTTTCAGCAATTGAGAGATGAGAAGTTATGAAGTACGGGTTCTTACCTGATTTGTACGTAATAATAAGTGTGAATTTATTAGATTTGTTAAGTCTATGTAATCTACCTTTAAAAATCTGTCACATAACTCACCACCTATTTTATTCAGAAATTCTTGAACATCGACTATATATGTGATGTTAATATTTTTGACACTGTTCTCCAAACCATAAATAACAATATTGTCTGACTATGAAACTGTCCTACGCATATAAACAAGAGGGAAAGTTAGTTCACTGTGACGTGTTGTATTTTAAAAAAATTTAATTAAAAATTGTTTGTCCAATGTGTCAAATCAGGATAGATACAATCAGTGAACAAGAGTTAGCAAGTTAACTAAAGCAGTCATCAACGTGATAAGATCTAATTCACAGTGCACATTTGAACTAAGAGATCCTTGGTGTTTTTTAACTCAGCAGCATAAAAGAAAACATTACCACTTTTTGTGTTCGCGCACAGTACGAAATCTACTAGTATTCCTACTAAATAATATATTCTTTCATTGATAGGCAAGAGGAGACCAAACAGTAGGCGAAGTCCAAGACGTGGACGCTAAAGAATTCGGAATTTGATTGTAAATGATCTACTGTTGGATATAAACTTTGAACAGCTGTTAGGATAAGAAGCTCGATTTTCTCAAATAAATTTATTTTTACTAGTATTTTCTGAAATATACCAGTTGACCATGGTTTTAGTGGACCAAGAATATTTGTCTCATATATACAGCGTTCCAAGTCATCTTCAGCATTCTCTTGCTACCGAATCAAATAATATTTGCGAAATTACGCCATTCAAGAAACTATGTACCAAAACACCACTTTCTCCCAGTAAAGCTTAATATTTGTGCTATAAGGGAATTATGAAACGAACTACTTATTATCAATATGAGGTACAATAAAAACAGTCTCTGCTGTTCGGCGTGAAATGTCTTGTAAAGAAGAAGAAGAGAAATGGTTCAGCAAATCTTGGGATTGTGGCTAACAATAGTCAAGCACAATCGGTGTTTCGTGACTCATCAGATAGATAAACGTGGGTTGGAGTTCGTGTTCACACTAAGACCGGTAATCAATATCTTTCACTTCAGACGTCAGCTAAGCTATTGAGTTCAAATAACCACTAAATTATCCATCAGGAATGAAGTTACTATTAACCAGTCAACTTTAGTTCTGAATGCTAAAACCGAGAAAATACAAAACCGTAAAAATAAAAAAGTGTTTAATAATTTTACATATGATCATTAAGTCACTAGCAGTCTTCGTAGACACTGGAATTCAAGTTGCATTTAGTCAACTAAATATTCAAAGAAATCACATCAGGCACGAAGTTACTAAAAAAAGCATTCCCATACTTTCTAATACAAGGGCCACGTATATCTATGTAGTCGAAACTAAAAACCCGACCTTGTAGAAAACACTATCAATTCGCCAACCTCTCACCAGTAGCTGCAGTGTTTTATCAGTCAATAACTCAATCAAAATGACAAGTAGATATTTTGGGACTAACATTTACTTCAGTAATTGAAAACGATATCATAGTACTGAAGACTCAAGGAAAATTATGTATGTCATACTTATCGATGTAAATCATTCTAACACGTGGTTCGGCAATCAATTTTTGGTTAGTTGGTTTGTGGGAATTTATTTCATATGAGGACAGTTGTTATAACATAATGACACCAAATGAATGACTGGCTAGATACTTTGTTCTGATCCGACATTCTTAATTAGTGCTCACTCATGACAACACAGAAAATCTGACTGTCTACAGTGAAGTCTCACTATCTCGTTGAGGCAAACAGTTGAGATCCTTAGGTCAACATTCCCGACTTCAACTAGATTTTGATGTGTCATAATCATCATCTGATGCCATCCATATTCTGTTGTCCGTCTCAGAGGTGCCTTGTTCGCTATGAACTCTGAGCATCCCATGTTCCAGTGAGTATAGAAGCGTGAGTGTATGTTTGTGGCATTGGATTGAAACCACTGTTCATTACTTTCTGGTTAACAATGAAACCAATTTTTTGTGAGACGTGGTGTTCAGGTTACACGAAAATTCCCACAAAACCATATCAGTAATTAATTTGGTTATTGTTCGGAACAATATGTTCTATTCGTAGTCGATGAAATATGTATTTACTAAGATATATGATACCAGTTTACCATAATCACCAATCGTCATTTTCTAATTAGTGTTTCTTACGCGCTCACGTAATCGTCTGTATTAATTATTAATTCCTCACTAACGAACGCTTGCATTTCAAACACACGGATAATGATTTAGATTGCTTCAAATGTATGCACAACAACTATCTGTAAATTGATTCAACTCAGTACCATGGTTATCGGAAAACTCCTGATATTCTAAGATCAAAAATATACACAGTAATCCTTAATTCTAACATATTGGTTATAAATCTAATCACTTCATGATACTTATACTTCAGAATACTTTTATTTTGTCAACAAACAACACTATAGTTTTCGTACATTCTAAATCAAAATTAGGAGAGGATTTTCATTAATTGACCATTTAAATATAGACACTATCTAAGGCGTATCGAACTTATGAAGATTTTTCCATTGAAATACTGACATCCACTATTTATCACTAAAACTAACTTTTACTTGCTTCATAACCAGAGTTAAAAATATCTTTTCCGCTAGTTTATTCTAACAGAGAATCCCTTCGTTCTGTATCATTCATAACACAGATTCTGAATTTGAGTGGATTAAGTGACTTTTGCCTCTCTGAAGTTCATATATGAAATCGCTTTCCAACAAATGTAAGTTAACGATATAATGCATATTCCCGGTTGCTTGAATATATACAGGTTTTCCAGGTGTTTAGTGTTCCAAGAAATGTAATTGAACCCTAGCAATTCATTGAGCAGGCAAGGTACTGAGCTTCGAAATCGACCGATCTTCGTCAAGGTGAAGAACAATTGACGTCTACTTCTTTTACGAGTTAATACTAGTATATTTTGTAGCCTATTGGGTGTGTTTACCCAAGCTACGTAGGAGGTCGATTTATTTGGCAACTATGATAGTAAAATACAGGATAAGTACTAAGTGCAATGTGCAACTTCAACGTAAGTAAGGTGAGACTATTTCCGTCTCACTTGATTAGACTGCATTCACATAGATCACATAAATTATTGACCAATATTCTTATTTATAAGCGTTCTAAACCGTCTTTCCGTTAATTTTGTTATGGAACCAAGTAATATCTGTACAATTGCGCAAATTACTTAATTTCAATAGAAATTGTGTGCCATAAATTTCGCTTCCTCCAGGAAAAAGTTCATATTTTTGCTACCATGAAATTCATTACTAAGCACTTGAAGTCTATTTTGTCTGATTGTGAACCGATCGGGAAATGTAGAAAATTAAAATATCTTGTTAACCAACACTATAGATCTGCTGTTTGAAGAGATCACAAGATCAATTGAAATTGGCGAAACGGAACGAAGGATCAGCAACGCAACGACAAGACAAACTCAACTACTCCAATGTGGGGGGGAATGTATATTTCACAAGCAGCGAGAAGCACCAATAAACAAGCACACAACTCAAGCCTATATATACAGTATAAAAAGGTCCTTGGGAAACGTCACAAAATAACGTACTAAAAGAGGAAACGAATCAATGACATTTAGGGTCCTTTCGAATGGAAAATACAAACCGAAGGTAATAGTGGGCGCTTTAGGCGCAAAACTTTCCAGAGTAAAATTACAAAAATAAGACGTTTACCAAGTGGTTTCTGGGAATCTAGCATCCCCAACAATTATATAAATAAATTACTGTCATTTGCATTCCATAAATGTTTACTGTATTTTCTATGACACTGCAGCCGGCAGTGCGTTATAATGTGAATTATTCATGAACTAGTTGCATCAGTTCCGTTGCGTATTATTGCAGTTAAAAAACTGAAACTGTTCTTATGCATTCTCCTTCTATACTTGATCTTTTCTACTGCTCTGGTATTGGTTAAGATAATTGTATTCTACTGTGCTAATACTGCATGATAAATTGAATAAATGCAAATATGCCAGGTTTTAAGTTGTATATGAATCAACTAAAAATGATTCAGTTATCCAATCAAATCTCGTCACAGAAATTTGTTTTATTCACCTGACTGTATACATAAGAAAAAATTGACTGATGTACTTATAGCATCGGTAGATATTTTAAATCATGACAGTCAGGTGGTTCTGATAATTTGAAACACTAATTTTCCTACCATCAAAATTTAAAGTGGGTTCTTGAACCATGTCAAGTTATTTAGTCATTACTGAGTTAATTCCAAAAACAAGTATGAAAGAGTAAGAACAGAAAAAAAGACGAATAAAATCATTTTAACAGCATTAAGTTAATCACATTATCATTGAAAATCATTTTTCAAAGAAAAAACGAACACTAACCCATTTGACAATACAATTGAAAATGACTATTTCATTCATTTCATTAATATTAGCGCGAAAAACTTCTAATATATATGTATGTATATGCACATTAAATATGCATTCATAATGTATGAATTAAAAGAACATTTAAAAGAAATAATATACCCGGTGAATCATTTTCGACATTATATTAATCATTGATATCAATATCTATGTGTCTAACAGAGACAAAGTATTAACCACAAAGATATCTGATAAATAAACAATATATATTTCGTCGCCCAATTTTTGTACATAAACAGAGAGGAAGGTTTATTACAATTACAACCTGATGTATACTAACTCCGGCACTAAATGTATATACCAATGTGTGGAATATTAACCAAAATAAAAATGTACTGTAGATGTTCCAAATCCAGGAAAGACTTGAGTAAACAAATTGTGAGCGGATACATTTCCTTTAGAAAAAGACATTAAAAATCAATAGAACTTTCAAAAACGGTTACAGTTATGAATAGATAGGATCTAGTAAAATGAAATCAATAATCTACAAAATTTGGAACATTGTATTGTCCAACTAATATACAACAAAACTTGAAAAAGTGATGAGCGGTCTTAATTGATTGGGTTTGTGTGTAAACTATGAAGTTGATTATCTCCAGTCGCCTATAACATGCAACTAAATTTTTGGGAGCAACTATTTAGTATTCGTTTTATTTCAGTGTTACATTATGTTAGTTTATTTTGAACTTTATTCAGTATCATACACAGTATTCATTCTGTGAAACAATCTATTTTGGTATTCCCCCTATGTATGTGTTACATGAATTAACTAATCAGCAGATATCAGTAAAACTGATGAGCCTATTGTGATTGACAAGATCTTCGTATTTTGGAGGGTGTATAGAAAATCTGCCTTTATCATCAGTTTTTTTTCTTTTCCGTATATATTGTACGAATTTTAGCGCATCATGTAGTAAGTACCAGTTTTCCACAGTCATATCGAAAACAATAAACTCAATTTATCTTTAGATTTATTGATTAATTGTTGGAATAAGGTGTGAAGAGATACTTTCTTATGAATAATTTATTATAATCTAAGATGAGCACATTCACATGACATGGTTTATATCATGATAGACTGTTTACAAACATTCATAGAAAAATTCTATTTACTGTCCACGTGGAGGTAGTAATTTATAAATTGACGACTCA